CAATATCTTTAATGATCTGATAAAATTGCCTATTGTATTATCATGATGAATAAATAACATTCCTAATTCTGATTAGATATCTAATTTTATATATATATGTCTTTATTTATGTATTAAGTAATATTGGTTCACTTCGAAAGTGCATCAAAAGGCAAGTTATATGCCTTTTTATAATATTTTATACATTAACTTATAATTAAAAATTGATCTGAAAAATTGGATATTTGATTAACTGTTATTTCAAAGAACTGGTTTTTGAAGATTTGTTTTAAAGAATTTTCCATAAACCCAGTTTTACTGATCCATTAAATCTCAGTTAGAAATGTTTAAGTAACTGAAATTGCATGTACGTACATTTCATTACTTTAACCAAATACTCTGATTAACTTATACAAACATATACATGATAAGCTATTTTACATAATTCCACTGTTTTAAATAGAACTGAGCTTCAATTTTTAACTTTGTCTCTGTTCAGGGAAACCACTCTAACACAAGGGAAAAGTTACATCAAGTCTAACATTTTTTTTTAGGAAAAGTTGATAGAGAAAAATTAATCCCATACTTATTGTATCTAAAGAAATATAATATTCAAAACTCAATTAGTATGATTAGTACATAGTCATCACATTTGATGTTTCTTACCTTGTGATGTGATGGTGGAGTACGGAGATTGCATTGGAGAAGGTTTAAGAATTGATTTTTTGGGAGATTTGGGAGTCATAGTAGGAGATGGTGGTGGAGATCCTTTAGGGGAAGGCTGTAAAAAGTTTTGCAATGAAATACAAATTTCAAATTATAACGAAAAAATACCATTGTTCTAACAAGATATAATCCTGATCTAATAGGAACAGACTGTTCATTAATTTGTTGTTAACTGAATGAACTATAATTATATAAGGAAATAATTTATGCAATAACAGAGGTGATCTTAAAATAAAATGTAACAATAATATGACAGCGTATTTCCACAGTATCAATGGTGGTTTAGACAATGGTAGTTTATAAAACTCAACTTACTCGACCACTTCCAGTGACAGGTATCACTTGAAACCTCGATGTTTTTCTCTGTTCACGTGGAGTGCTCTTTCGGCTTGTATCGTCTACAGACAACTGTTTAGCAGCTTCCCTGAGACGACGCTTCCGCCCCAGGTGATGATTTATCCGCATAAGAAGTTCAATTCGAGTTATTGATCCCAAAAGGATCATAGATTCTGTATGAAAAAAACAAAACAAAACATACACACACTCTTACTCTTGGCATAGTTATACATTGCGATCACTGATACTAACCCATTTTTCTGCACCATTTATGCACAAATTACTTGTAATTGCAAGACTTTGTTGGTTACATGGTTCATAATAACATATACGAATCACATAAAAAAAGGTAATTTTCAATACCCCAACATTCCAGTTAATTATACTAATCACTGCACATATTCCCCATGTATTTCACACACAAAATATGTGATTTAACCCAATTCTTTTGGTCAGTTTTTCACACTAATTGTTGTAACAGAAAAACATAGTTACTGAATACGCTACAATATACAGACACCACCAGTAATGAAATATATAAATAATAAAATATATAAATTTACACACAGCCTGTAAACTCAATCAAAAAGCTTACCTAAATTTTGTTTAGTATGTTATTCATACAATATTCTTTCAAACTTAAAGTATATTATGAAAGCAAATTACACAAGAATGATCCATATTTATTTTTGTTTCATATTTATATGGTATGAAACTAAAGGCATACACATGAAGAATGGGACACCTACAGACATAACTACATGCAAAAGACACAGTTACCCTGTATATAATGTTTCATGACAACGGGTTGTTTCATTTATATACCTTTTGGATACTTATTAATTTACAGGATCTTCAATTTGCATCACATACAAAGTGTTATAGATTAATTTCAAAGTATTATTTAATATACTGTTGACATTAAACTATGTACAACATTGTTTCATATGCTTTAGTTTCAAAAACAAATATTTCCTCTAATAGTCAGTTATGTTTCAAACCTGTATTTAATTGAGCCTGAATAAGTCTGTAAATGTAGCCAAAACATAATATGTATTCTTTTATACAAATTTTATTTTTAACCATTTATCAAAGCTGCTGAGTTTTTAATTAAATTTATTAACACAGATGTGATCTCTTACTAAAAGTATTTTGGCATATTTTTATTATTGTTATTCTTTTTCTCCGCAATATCATTCAAAGTATGATTTTATTTACTTACTAGCTTTATAACTCTAGTAAATTATTTACTCCAGACGTTTTAAAATCTCATTAATTGTCAGTTAGGATTAGTATTTATATTTAGTTCATTCCTAATGGCAATTTCATATGGAGATTATGATTTGGGGATCTATCATTATTTTTCATCTAATTTGTGTTTTCAAAAGTATTAAGCTTTTTACTTTCCATACAAAATGCTGTTATTAGAGTATAAACAAGTATAAATGTACATTGTATGCAGAAATAATTTGAGAATTTTGATTATCTTGAAGAAAAGTTAAACCAATTACAAGATTTACTGAAAATGAACAATGTTATACCTGTAAATAAAAAGAAAAAAAAACCTTAGTTGGAAAAGTCTTTTGATCCTGAAAAAGTTTCACGAAATATTTATTTAAATGCATTGTACATTTACAACACATTTACTTTCTTTTCATTAACCACAATACTTAACATATGTTCATGCAATGGTTTAACAAATTATGTTTAAATAAATGTCTTTAATGATATTTATAACCCAAAGCAAAATGATTTGCTCTGGAAAGAAACTAGAAAAGTAAAATTTCACAGTAGGTTTAATTTAAGAACTTATAAACAATATACTAAGACCTAACAATGAAAACCATTATTGAATAGCAGTATAATGGCATTATTGTGACCATGTCACAATTTTTTTTCCTAGTCATACCTGGTGAATCCACAAGAGGAAAAGATTGAAGTCGTCTATTTAACTTAAGGATCTGTCTTAGGTCTCGATATGTGACTCCCTGCCACACATAAGTGATTTCTCGAATCATGATGTCTTCAACATAAACACTATGTGCTCTGTAATTAAAAAAATGACATCAGTTGAACACTTTAAAAGCTCTCAGGAAATAAAAGATGACAAATTATTAATGCATTCCTGCACAAACACTTTTTTAAAGAACTGATTAAAAAAAATACAGTTGTATGTATGAAAAGTATGTAACAAGTCTTAATGTAATAAAGAAATTCAATACTAATTAATGTATTAAACAATACCAACTGCTTTAAGTGAATCATTTTTACAATATATTTATCACAATAAATTATTTAACACTAAAATTCAGAAAGGAAAAATAACAAATAAAGTTTTTCATAATTACAGATTAAAATTATTTTAAGGCACATTTATTTACTCAGAATGTGCATTGCATATAGTATGAGCTCAAAAGTTCATTTGATTAACAACACTAAAATAATTTCCTTTAAAAAGTTTTTAATGAGATCACTTTCAGATGAAAAGGAAGTTAATTTTAACACAAATATTACAATAACTTTTTAGGTAACGAGCAGTCTTACATAACAAAATTAAAGGATAAGAAAGGAGCTTTTGGTCCATCTAGGCTGTCTTATCCACTAAATTAAACTAAAACTTGAAGAGAAAAACTTCAAAGCCAGCCCTTATCATTCAAGTTTTTATCAAACTTTCCCTTAAACTCTCTTAAATTAACTGCATCCACCACATCCAATGGCAATCCATTCCAGAGACTAACCACCCTGTTCGAAAAACAAAGCTGTCTTAGTTGAAGATTGCTTCTTCCCTACAAAAATTTATATTTGTGTCTCTTAGTCTTACCATTTTCACCAGCTATTATAATAATAATTAGTTTTGTCTGTCCTGAAAATGCACATGCACATCATTTCAATGCATGTAAACAAAAGACAGATGTAAATCTACTTTAGTAGACATTTTGCAAAACAACATACTATAAGCTTATCAAAGTTTTTAAAAAGGTCTAACGTTATAAGTTTAATATAATATATAATATAAATCTAATATAAGTTTATTTACTGATGGTAATAAGTATGGCAACATTTAGCCCTATCTAAACTAAAGCAAAACACTGTTAATTCACCTCTTTATTGAAAGGCTGTAAAGGCTTAACTAATGTTAGGCTTAATACAAGTGGACTTGTAGATTTCAGTGTCTGCAATTATAATATTTTATCTTTCTAGAAATCCTGATTTTAAAGAAGTACTTTGTAATAAATATACAAATTTGACTGCATATGTTTTTTCAGGTCTTTGCTATTAAAATATGAAAAAAGATGATGAATCAACACTATCAATTTCCTCAACAATCTTAAACACACCAATCAGATCTCGACTAACTCTTCTTTTTTTTCAAGATAAAACAAGTTCAGAGATCTTAGCCTATCTTCATATGATAACATTTCCATCCCAAGTATCATCCTAGTAGCCCTCCTCTGAACTCTTTCAAATAATTCAATGTTCTTTCTGAGGTAAGGAACCCAAGACTGTGGCCTAACCCATGATCTGTACAATGAAATTATAACCCCTTTAGACTTGTAATCAGTATATCTTTAGATCCAAACTAAAATCCTACTTGCCCTACCACTAGCAACAGCATATTGCTTGGATGGCTTAAGAAACTGATCAACCAAAACACCAATATATTTTCTTTCATATCACTGTTAAAATTATTTCCATCAAAATTATACTCATAATTCAAATTGTAATATCCCACATGCATTACCTTGCAGTTGTTGTAATTAAAAGTCCTCTGCTATTTATTTGCCCAATTCACCAAATAATTCAAATCTTTTTGTATAGCACTAGCATCTTCCTTAAAGCTAGCAACATCCAAAACTTTAATGTTATCAACAAATTTAAATAATCTATTGACCATCCCTTCATGTATATCGTTGCTGTAAATCAAAAAGAACAAAGGTCCTAACACTGAGCCCTGAGATTCCTCACTAGTGACGTTAATCCAATTTACTGAACTCCATTTAGAATAACTCTCTACTTTCTTTCATTTGACACTTTTCTATCTAATGAGCCAAACTATTCCCCCACACCTACAGAAATAAATTTTTAAACAAGACTTTTATGTGATATCTTGTCAAATGCTTGCTGAAAATCCAAATACATCACATCCAAACCCATACCCCTCATCTAATAAGCAGTAACCTCTCCAAGGAATGTCTAAAAATTACCAAGGAAAGATTTTCCCCTTGTGATCAGTTGTAATAATCTATTAATATTGTGCAAACAAATGCATTTATGTCTGTGTGTGTGCAGCCAGTGAGTAGCAATTTAACATTAAAAACATCTAGACCTTACAGTCTAAGAATAGTGCTTATTTTTAGATATTGAGAATCCAAAATAAAAAATTCTGTGGTCCTTGTAAGTAATAATAACACTACATAAGATAATACAATGTATCAGATGAACAGAAATAGACAGTTAGTGTAACTATCAGATTCCATAGCTGTATTAAAAATATTCTTTATTTAAAGCATAGTTAAGAAACTTTTCTTGAATATATTAACATGTGTTATAAAAAGAAATCATACAGTTTAAAAAAGATCATTACACCCACGTAATTGTTTTACAAAACTGTTAACATTTTATAGACTTGAAATACATATTTACCAGTAATTTGTGTGATATTACATTACAGTTAGGTTGATCATTCTAATCACAAGTCTCCTTATTGACAAGCTAAGTGACAGGTCTCATTGGCAATGGGAAATAATGCGTAAAAAGGATAGCTGAAAAGTTATCATACATTCTTTTTTACTGGTAGTTCATACAAGAGCCAGTAAAATTATTATAAGTTTTATTGTAATGTAATATCACACTAATTAACAAATCTTGCTTCAGCACAGGTGTTGTAAACTTTGACACTTTAAATACTGTATATGTATTTTCAGAAACCCTTCTTGTAGACGTTATTATGTAATTTCAAGAGATTTACTATGTGATTTGAAAAAGTGAGCATAACAGCAAATGATCATCAACAGGTAATATCAGAAATTACTTATGACTAACAAACTAAGTAGGTTTAAAATTATTTTTCAAAAATTCAAAACATTCATAATAATTTTAGTAAAGTATTTTTACAACTTGTTTTAATCTCTATTTTTCAAAAAAGTTTTCAAAACCTTTCTCTGGTCTTATTCTCAAAGATTTGTCAACTGTTAGTTCTCTTATTACAAACATAGAGATCACTTAAACATTCAGTACTTACTCTGAAGATACAGACAAAATAGGAGGCAAATATGGAAGCTTCTTAATTTTTATAATACTGTCATAGATAGATGGTTGGAGACACTGAGCTATGGCATTTGATATGAGAACAGCTAACTGTAAGTAAAGAAAAAGGCTTTGCAATCAATACAATTATAAATGTTATTCAAAAAAATTAAAATCTAGACCAAAAACAAATAGAATCACAGTCAGCTGTTGTAATATGCATACTCCTAATACAACAGAAAAAAAAAGTTTACATTTTCCTATACCAAAAATGTATTTCAGATAATATTTACCTCTACTTACATTTTAACTTTATTCTAATGAAAGTTCCTCTTCTCTGCCCATCTAAGCATTGGTATGAATTATACCTTGCTTGCTCCAGTTTTTATTCCCGACTATATCACCCATAGCGATTTTAATCTTGTGACTCTCTCCACCTACGTCAATGCACCCTCTATACCAGATTTGTGTATAAGCTCCCCGTTATTATTTCTTATTCACTTTTTTTCAAGACTAGCAAAATTATCAGATCTGAGCACCAGCATCATGAGGAAGAAGGGCAGGATAGTATGAGAGGCGGTATTATCGGAAATACATTTTCTGTATACAAAAATGTAAATTTCCAAAACACACTTACCTCTTCTCACACTTTAGCTAGAATCCAACACTGACAAAGTGGAAGGGCTGTTGAGGGTAACATCCACACAGAAAGAGTCTGCACAGAAAACAGGTGTGCAAACTGAGATATAGTATAGCACACTAGTAGGGTCCACACTACTTCTGGAACAAGTATGCTCTTTGCCCAAATAATGTGAAATCTACAACATGGGCAGTAAAGGCCAACTGGCCACAGTGTTGAAACCATAACATCTTGAGAAAAAACGTGCAAGGTAGGACATCTATTCCAAAATTGATTCCTCCTGCAATACCATGTATTGTACTTGTACATGTACCAACCACGTAGACAAGATCCTACATCTACAAGATGTAGTAGCTATGGCATAGGGACCACAGTGTGATATCATTGTATTATAGTAATATGATATTAAAGGAATCCAACCTGGAATATTGCATGTCAAACCACCAAAATCAAGAAGAGAAAGCAAGCAACACAAAAGTGGACGAACCTTCACCCCAACTTGAAGAAGCACAAAATGCAACAAACCAAACTTGAAATTATGTGTCCAGGAACCCAACCTGAAAGTTACACAATGTTGCATGTGAGCCACAAGAGTTACAAAGAGAAGGCAAGCAACACCCAACTAGACAAAACTTTCCCTCAAACTGAAAAAGAACAGAATGCAACAAACTGAACTCAGAATTACAGAGCCATTTATACCTCACTCAACCTGAAGAAAACATTTGGCCCGGGATTACAAACCTAATTCCTAACTCCCCAACCTGAGAGGCAAGATAACACCTCCTGCCCCCAGAATTATGAGGAGGATGTGGAACAAACAAACAAAGTTCAACCATTGACTCATGGACTTGATGCTTTGTGTGCAGAATTACAAGGAGTCGAGGACTCTCTTCCATGATCATGGAAAGTAAGATAATGACCAAAAAGAAGGGCCAGATTCAACACAACCAGAATTATAGGCTGGTCCTGCTCCCACCAGATATATGAGAAAACCATCCATGGTTTTGGGTGGGAGGGTATCCAGCTTTACCCTCTTCTCCTTGAGTGGAAGAAAATGTGTTAAAACATTACTCAGGAGGAACAGACCTCTTTCCACCACTCCAGCAACTGGAAACTGGGAGTGGTAAGGATTACCATGCTCCACTATGGAGAAATGGGGGGAGAATTCATGTTGGGGAGTCTCAAGGAACAATGATCTAAAGATGGCATAATAAGTGAACCACATTCCTATTTTAAAAAGCAAACCAGCTCCAATTTATTCAATCTTGGGGTCAGCAGGAATGGGCAAAATCCCTTTATGCTTTACTCGTGATAATCCATGAATAGCAGTCCATTATTGTATATTATGTATAGTACTGAATAATTGTGTACCACTGAGCTGCCAGGGATATTGAGCTATGCCTAACTTGATGAAATGAAACCAAAAGAAGACTCCACTCCTCCAATGAAAGCCCAGAGTAAGCCATACGAACCAAATGATGAATCCAACCTGTCAAAGTGACAGGGTATAAGTAACATGGCACAGTAGGATCCCAATGGATGAACAAATGCTTCAGTGCATGCCACATAACATCGGAGAGCCTGATCATGCATGAAAAATGATACAGATCTGAGCAGTCATATTAATGTGAAATGGAATGAAGTTGAATATGAGAGAAAGCCTTAACTACTTCTCTATCTGCTGAAGTTTTGGGTAGAAAGGAACTGTGTGGATACAACAACACAGAAGTGGAATGGTAAAGAATCCTGTGAACATGAAGTGCAAACACATCCAAATGTTGATGACTGTTAGCCAGAATCAGAAGAAAAAAAAAGTCTGAAGTGAAAGATGATAGAGTGAACATGACTGAGATAAGAAAGGTCAATGGCAGGTTGCCAATTGCCCATCTTTTTTTTTGGTATGACAAACAGCCAGAAATAGAAACCTTTGAGAGAGTAATCTTGCTCTATGACCTCTTTGTGCAGAAGACCCTGCATGGTTTGAGCTCGACAGCTGGAAGTGAGAAGGTCCTTCAGGAGTGTAAAGCCAACAGGTATGAGAGACATGAACTGAATTACCCACAGATATGTGGTGAAGGTCTCCATACTGACATGAATCATCTGAGTTGAGACCCCACAGGACCTGACCCTATAGGGTAGTCACAGACACTGTAGTCTGTACTACACCCTAGAGGAGGATACCCATTGATAAGGTTGGAATCACCCTTGTGTTCCAATGGATCATGGCACTGAAGTCAGAGATCTGAAAACTCGAATGGGTGATGCAGGAATCTATCCTGTAGAAGACCTTTGGGACAGTCAAGAAGCCAGGGTAGAAAGGGAAGAGTGGAGACAGGCCACATCCACTTGAGAATCCATGGAATCAGAAATATCAGCAAAAACAGACTGTCTAAGAAAATGAGTTTCTCTGAGATCTCTAAGGGTTGAAGTAGGAAGGCAAACTCCCTCCGGCAAGGCATCTCTCTCCAAAAGATCCCAACAAAAAATTAACCAAGATACAGAAGCTGATAAACTGACACAAAAGTAGAAGTAAATAAATAACTAAGATCATCCAAAAACTGTACAGGAGATCTGTGATAAGCCTCAGACAACAGTTGTAAATATGATAAAAAATACAAAACTGTTGTAAGTGACAGATGAATTCTAGAAAACTGAGAATGATTATGGTAAACCATGACATCTTCTCTGGAGCCCCAAATAGGAAGAAGAGGATCTTACCTCTGAGAGTCCAAATAAGGGTCCTCCAAGCAATGGAAAGCCAAGGTATGCTGATCCAATAAACGAGGATGACAAGGCATGGCAGCACCCTCTCTCAAATGATCAGCAAATCTCCTCGCATGTACAGCAATGTCTGATGAAGGTGGAAGGACAAGGTAATCAGACAAATGATTTTTCCCCAATAAAGAAGGAGATGATTCATAAGCTACAGCAGAAATACTTAAAACATTGCAAACTTGACTTACTAGTTTCGAAAAAGGATCAGGAGGTGGAATGTCTGTCCGGGGCTCATGATTAGCTGACTATGCAAAGAAAGGTACCAGGATTATAGAGTCTAGATTCTCACCAGTCCACCTTTGATCCCCCACAAACTCAGCCAACAGGAGAGAAAAAAATATCAGACTGCATACAAGACTCTACCTTTGCATATGAGGAACTGTATGTCCTCCGTGGAAGGTGGCCCCACCACTGATTCCCAGGTAATGCCAGACCCATGAGGTGATAGGGGAGGAGCTTCAGGCAACTCCATGTCTGAGATGTGAATATATATATATTCATATTCGAAAACCGTCTCAAATAATCATGTCAGATCGTTGTCGTAACTTATGCCATCAAGTAAAAGTGAAGGATAGGAAGTAATAACAAGAAGCTTATATACAGATCTGGTATTGAGGGTGCATTGACATAGGTGAGGAGATTCACAAGATTAAAATCAATATGGCCAATATAGTGGGGTATAAAGACTGGAGCAAGTGAGGTATAATTTATACCAATGCTTAGATAGGCAGAGAAGAGAAACTTCTGTCAGAATAAAACTAAAGTGTGAGAGGAGGTGTGTTGAGGAACAAGCTATTAAAAACTAAACAACTGTCTGGTGAGTAACATTTATCTCCTGAATTGACATTCCAACTCACAAATTTGTCAGATGCTCATGTGAACATCACAAAAAATTGATGAATAATAGTTTCAGATGAGTTTGAGTACACTATCAGCTCCTAATTGTTAGTTTTACTTCACATAAGCAGCTTGGGAAATAAAAGTTAAATTTAATTCTGATATGCCCCATTTCATCAGATAACTGTCTTACACAGATACATTTTACCATTTCTACTTTGTAGTGTGTAACTTTATTTTTTATTTCTTCATCTTATATGTGTAACAGTATTAGTTTGAGGCCTAGTTATCTGTATTTGAAAATAAATTGAAGTTAATATTATGCTCCCTCCTTTACTTGCAAAAAAATAAATATATTTACATTTGTTTTCTTAAGCCCCATATATAAAAATATTGAAATAATCTTTTATATAATCATCCTAACAGAAAATCTGGTACATGGAAGAGATGAAAGGTGAATGGATGTCAATTTCAAAAACAATGTAGTTCTTAAACCATGTCTTGTGAATGTACACAGTAATTAAAATCACAAAATTAAAGTGAATTATACTCCTAGTGCTGCTATTTTCTATTTTATTATAATTTCAAAAAGTTTTTACGCTTTTTCAAATACTACAGTCTACATTTTTTCCTAGGTAACCAATTATTCCATTTTATGTTTAATTTTAATTTATAATATTTAAAACTAAAAGATTTTAACAATTATAATGGTGAAAAGAACTACATTATCTTGTTACTTGTTGTCTCAAATATAAACCAACTTGTAAGCAATATTTTAAAGAAATCAGTACGTATCATTTCTATTACATCCTGTTCATTATGATGACAAGATATTTTCATACATATATCATATCATTTCTGTCAACCAGCTTAATCCCTAAATACAACAACATAATATTATTTACATCTAATGTCAATTTTTTAAACAACTTGCATTGTGGCAAAGATTTTGCTTACACACATGCACATCCTTTTACTCTTCCAATTAAACAATTTGAGGCTATCTAGCTAATTCTAGCAATCAAGTGTCTTATGACCTTCCTGACATAAGTCCAAACTACATTTTTCACATGGCCATGGTATAAGATGTTGTTTTTTTTTATAAAAACATTAACAATTTGATGCATAATGGACTACATGCTTTGTGTCTGCCATAGGAATCAAATCGTGAATTTTAGTGTTATAAGCCTTCACGCTTACTGTTCAACAACCAAGGTATACCAGTGGTATATGATTTGTTATTCAGTATAAGCAAAGGTATTTTTTTTATCCTATAACATACAAACAATATATTTTACATTTTCTATATCTCTAGAGCTTCCATTACTACAAGAAACCAACAGTAGTTCCTAAACACAAAAATGTAGCATTTGGATGTAAAAGTAACAGAAAATTAGAGATGAAGATGGTACTTACAAATGTGGTACTATACTACAATAATAAAACAAAACATTTATCTTCATTCAAACTGGGAAAAACCAAAGTGACTGATTACAAAAATTACCAGTTTAGAAATTTGGCACATTTCTTTTTAATAAAAAGCTAAATAGTTTATATATACAGAACATCAAGAAGGATTTCTAATGATACAAGTGACTTCTACACATTGAACCTAACTGTACAAATAATAAAGTATTAATTTAAATATCGTTAAAAGGCTATATTTTCTACTTCCTCTGTTTCCAGTTTTTCTGAGCATTTTAAACATTTTCAAAATTAAATTTGGGTTAACTGTGGAATTCTAAAAATAAGTATACTATATTTGTTTCTTCTTAGTAAATATACATTAAAAATGTTTTCTTGATTCTGGATCCTAAGTGTAAACTGGTAACTTCTGATTTCAAAATTCATACCATAAAAAACAGAAAATTTATGATTTACAGTCAGGCATACTTCACTTATTTTACTCTTGTCATCAACTATTTGTGGATTATTTTTATACATTCTGCTCTATTTATGTTTAGAACTAATTAAAGTAATTGATCAAAATAGTTTCTTTTTATGTTTTATTTCTGTAAATCTTACACAATATTTGCTCAATGAAATAATTAATGGAAAAATTAAGAAATATTTATAGGAATACATAAAAAGTTAAGGTTCTTTAGAAAACTGTATTTGTTATATATTGATTGTGAATATTTTTTAAAAGTTATCTGTTTGCAAATAAATTTGCTAATAGTACTGAAATTACCTGCATTCATATTGTACAGTTGAATGAATTCATTCGTTATTAAAAGTTTAAAATATTAAAGAACATACACGTATGTATTTGATGAACTATTTTACATAAAGTCAACACACAAAATTCTCTGGTTGGTTAATCATGTTCAGCCAAGTTGATCTTTTTTTAATACATGTATTATGTATCTGCAATACAATTATATTAATACCTGCATATCTAGCACAGAATTAGAAATTGGTAGGCTGACAAAGTAAATATCTCTTCATCTTTCATAATTTTTGTTTCTACTACTGTTCTGATTAGACATACAACCTTAAGAAATATTCAACAACTAAAAATGTGAAAATGACAGTTAAAAAAAACACAGATGATTAAATATATGTGGAACATAGAGCAGGAAGTATTTAATATCTCTATGTTTAAACAAAAAACTAGTGCTTACAATAACCGGGAGTATATGTGACATCTGTCCAGTCAGTTCAAAGACAATAACAGATGTGGATATTGTATGGGTTACACTTCCTGACAGTGCTGCTGCTCCTATTTTTAATGATCAAAATAGAATAAAGGTTTCAAAACATGCTCTAACAAGAAACAGGTAATACAGAAATAAATACACTTTATATGTCATATTCATTTAACAGTGTGTATGTACTCAAAAATCTAATAAACTTTTCTTTTTACCATTCATGAAGAATACCAAATTAGCTATGTAATTAATCTTTATATTAATAAATATTTAACAGATTTAATTTAAGTACTTTATTTTAATACTTGTGTCAATGTATCCTAATAAAACTTACAAAACTGAAATTTTATTATTCACAAAACTATGAAAATGTTTTAGATCCTCATTCACTATATAGATGTTTAGGATAAAGATTTTTATAAACCAAAAAATAAATCACTGATTTTCAAAGGGAAATTTTGTCCACAGATAAAGTCTAGAAATAACAATTAAATCTCCATGGAAAAAAATGTTTTTTTCATATTCCAATAAACTAGTGCAACATTTCATCAAGACCAATAAATAAAGGCATACACTTGCAATAGAAACACTCTCCAATCTTCTTCTTCATAAAACACAAGACTGTCAATTAAACTACATCAAGACTTACTACTTCATTTGTTCAGTCATACAACACAAGACTGTCAATACAACTAGACCATACAATACAAGACTGTCAAATACAACTAGATCAACACTTTCCACTTAATTTATCCACAGTCAAAAAACACAAGAATGTCAATACAACAATCAACACTTACCACATAATTTATCCACAGTCAAAAAACACAAGAATGTCAATACAACAATCAACACTTACCACTTTATTTATCCACAGTCAAAAAACACAAGAATGCCAATACAACAATCAACACTTACCACTTTATTTATCCACAGTAAAAAAACACAATAATGTCAATACAACAATCAACACTTACCACTTTATTTATCCACAGTCAAAAAACACAAGAATGTCAATACAACAATCAACACTTACCCCTTTATTTATCCACAGTAAAAAAAACACAAGAATGTCAATACAACAATCAACACTTACCACTTTATATACCCACAGTCAAAAAACACAAGAATGTCAATACAACAATCAACACTTACCACTTTATTTATCCACAGTCAAAAAAACACAAGAATGTCAATACAACAATTAACACTTACCTTTTATATGTTCCTTGGAAGAATGAATAAAATAAGAAAACATTATGTTAGTCAAATTCATATATTGTAAAGAAGAAGAATCTTTTACATGATACATACAGCTACTCAAACCAGAACAGAAAACTTCCCAGATGAAGCACTGTGCTATGAATTAGTTTAATAACACAGTAAATAAATTAGAATTTTTAAACAAGGTTTTGTGATATCTGCATTGTTTGATAAAATATGAAGAACGAGTATTTGTTTGTGTAAACAAGTTATTTACTTTAGGTAAAAATATTTTAAATGTCAATAGCCCTAGCATCAGTGGGTTACTTGAAGTTAAACTAATGAAAATCTGACAAGATAGTTAAGAAGAGTTGAATTTTAGAAAGCATTTTGTTTTGAAAATAGAATTTAAAAAAATGTAGATCCTGACATACACAACCAGTAGAAAAGTATATAAAATAAACAGTGTGATTCCATACAAATGTACTAAAACTAACATCAATAACAAACTAATCTAGTTATGGCAAGATAAAACTAAAGTTGAAATGGTTAAAACTAATTTAACAGAAAAAAAAGTTATGTAGTCAAAGTTTTGGCCAAATATTAAACTTGCATTGGGACCTGAAGAAAATTGACAGATTATATAATTAGAGAGAGATAGAGAAATACAAACCAAATTCATTGTTAAGAAAAAGTCAAAATAAAGAAATAGCAAGAGTAGTGAAGCACAGAAGACACTGCAGAAACATTCTGGTTAACAGGAACCAACAGGACACTGGGTGATAAGACAACGGAAGGAAAAATTAATAAATCATAATTCAGAAAAAGTAAACTAATGATAAAATATGAAACAAGGTAAAAGAAAACAGTACTTATAAGATAAAAGGTATAAAAATGAATACAATTAGAAGTATGAATAACTATAGAAATTAGTAGAAAGAAAAGAAAAAATAAAGGAAAGCTGGTAGATGAGATTGTGAAATTCAGAATTGTCTTCAAGTAGTTATTGTGAGATATTACAGAGGTTGAATACATTATATTAAAATGATTTTGGAGCCTCACCATTTCATCACAGTCTATTTTGCCATATCTAGCCATGCTCTATCTGATGGCCATTCATCTTGAAAACAGCCATGCAGTGCAGTTTCCATTGAAGCAAACTCTGTCATATCGCTATCACATCCAAAACTACCTGTAGTTATCCATAATACAACTAACATACAAGGACAACCATTTTCCAGAAATTATTTCAACAGTCCAGTTACACAAAAATCCACAGGTGATACATTTGGTGACTTGATTGGTATGCATTCCTATGGAATAGTAATGAATACTTGTTTCATTCTACAGCTACTTGAGGTATGTAGCAGTTGAGCAGATATATAGTGGTAGCAACTTGTGTACATGGGACTTGTGTTGCTTTTCCCGATGGAACTCCGTGATTGTGTTATGCATTATTTCTTGAGACATGAGGATGGCTTTTGCCACTGACTTCCATGTTTAAGGATTTTCATATGTTACAAGGTACCACACAATTGAAGTATGATTTGTTGCAGGTCTCTATTTCAATGGTCTTGGTGTCCCAAGTTGATCCATATTCCTATGTTTTCCAATACCATTAAGTACAAGAGATATCTCCATCTTGGAAATTCTATATCCTTGATATGAACACCCCCTTATAATCTGAGTGTGTGAATATTTGCAGCTGTAAGAGTTGTTTCTTACCTTTCAAAAAGTGAATAATATCACACTATCTAAAAATGCCAAGCAATTTCAAAATGTGGTTCTGATACATACTGCAACTTTTTATCACTGTAATTTTCATAAGACATGCTCATTTGCATATTCAAAATCATTTTAATATAACATAGTTAGCCCTCTGTAATCATTCTTATTACTTGATTTCAGACAAGAAAAATAACAACCTGAAGACTATTTTGGTTCACAATACACTATAATATTCAGTTCTCACTGATTTTGGTACTTTTTATATGTAGATCTTGTCTAATTTGTCAATCACACTGTTTTCATAAATTATGTTTTAAGACTGACAAACACATGTTATATCAGATCTCACATCATCTGTGGTTTTCCTAACCTAATACCCTGTGTTTCTTTAACTTCATACCCTATCATATATGTAGGTCAAGCTGTCCAATAGTTAGAAGTTCAGAAAAAAAACTTGTATGGTGGTGTGTGCATCATAACAACAATTAAAAGTTAAAAGTGATTACATGCCACTAATAAAATGTACCTACCAACAACAGCATATCCTCCTGGCATAACTGAGCTGACTGTGTTTCCTATTCTCACACCTTGAGGAAACCAAATTGCCATACATTCCCCCACAAGGCGGCCAAATGCAGCCCCTGAAGAGAGACCAATAACAATTTTGCTTTACCTGTTTGTGAGCATTATAAACCATTCTTATGCCAAAAACAAAGTCAAGATTTTTACACTGAACATATGTTCTTTATCTAAAAACTGCATACATAAAGAGAATATTCTCATATCTTCTTTAATTCCATTGAACTTTGCAAAAAGAAAATAAATGCTGTATTAAAAACTGTTCTACTATTGAAATAAACATAAATCTCAAACAATTATTAACTGTATACTTTTTATATCCATATAATATGGTACTATACAAAGCCAAATAGCTAAATGCATGATAAACTGTCATATAAATGGCAAATCTGAGTTGAATAAATTCCCTGAGAAGTATTTAAAAAACTATATTGACAGTAAAAAAAATTATATATTTTACTAGTATCCATAGAAGGAAAAAGAAATAAAGCATAGTATTCCCCATATTAGATACACTGCCATTACAATTTGATTCAAAACTGTTTTAGTGCTAAATAAATTTCCCTTTGGGGGAAAATTCGACTTGGCTAATGTTCTTTCTCAAATTTTTTTTAACCTTTTCTTTACAACATTATATTTTTCAATAGATTTTTCTTAATGTAGTAATTACATTTGACATTTAGACTTCAAGTAACAATGACAGTCCAGCTTCTCCATGTCATTAATAGGTCAAAAGTTAGTATTTGTTAGTTGCATCTTACATACATACATAGAAAAAAAAAGAGCAATTAACTACTGACCACCAAGTAATACATTTAGCCAAGGTCATATAACACTTAGAAGATTAGCTCTAAACAAAACAGTAGTTATACAAAATGACTTGGCCAAAACTCTATTTAGATTAGTCGTATTGTTTATTCGTATGAAAAGGCTATAACACTGACCCATTTTGAAAACTGGAATGAAAACACCTGCAGGGACTGGTATGGTGGCAGCCCACGCTGTGGTGAGGAACTACATAATAAAAGTTTCATAACAATATTGAATCCTTACAGGTATAATAAAGAATAGAAATCAAAAACGATAAAATTCCTTTTTCAGAAGAAATTCTTTGTTAAATCTAAACAAAAACATTTTGTCATTGAAACAAAAAATGATTAGACAATAAATCTCTAATTAGAGTTGCACAGCTTTAACATTAATACAAAAATAAACACTAAAAAACTCTAGTCCTCTATTGTTTGTATGTTTCCTGTTACATTTATCTGATGTATTCATTTGAAAATAACTTTAATTATAGTTTCCTGTTTCATCCACAAACAACTTGGTACTATAATTCAAATAAACTTTTCTTGGAATAAATAAATATATATCATAAAAACAGAGTACAAAATATTTAGTTATAGTTAAACATAATGTAAAGAAGTAATAGACTACTTAAGTGAAAAATGTTCTCTTATTAAAACCATATAATATGTAGTACTAGTTTAAACTGAATTTTATTTCATAAAAGAGGCATACATTCATAAAGATAAAACTTTACAAATGGTATATTTTTAGGCAATTCTTTGTACAACATTTTACCTTTAATATGATTTACTCAACAACAAGATTTTTTTGTTATTGATCTTTACACAAATTTAAAGTTCAAGTCAACCAGGTTACTTACTGTCATTACAACATAAATGACTAAATTGACATAAATATTTGTGTATGGTGTTGACCAATGGCTAATGATGATAGCCTCATCCACTTCTGGGTTGGTTCCAGACCACGTTGTATTACTAAATAATTCCATTACTTGATCATGAGTTGTTAACTATGGAAGAAAAATCCGACTTTTAAACAAAGCCATTAACACTAAAAAATTTTATTAAAGCACACATTTTATAAATAACAACATTATAAACACATATCTTGTAAAAAGTTACGTCAGTACTGTATCACATTATTTTTAACTAAGGGAACCACTGCTCATAGAATATGCAGTTTAATCCTTGAGCTCCAATCCCCTAATAAAAAACAAAAAGTGGAAAATCTCACAATTTTCTGTTGTATTTTACCTCAGAAAAGTCATATGTATAATGTTATGGCTAAAAAAAAAGTCAAATTAACTTGAAAATTAAATTGGAAGAAAGAAAATTACATAAATCTAGCATGCAAAGAATAACGTAGCTTCAGTTGAATGTACTTAATACTTCTGGAAGTGTAGCAGCTCAAAAACAGCAATGTTATAAGGATAATACAGTATCTGTAACAGTGTTTAAAATTAACTGTACATTATGAAAAATCTTTGAGTAGTTGTGATCTGTTATATCTTTCCTGACAGACAATATTCTTAAAGGTATCTAAGAAACTTATGATGTTTTTCATCATTTCTGCTTTTAAGTTAGCATTCTTCATGCATACACTGCATTTATAAAACTTTCTTGCTGGTCCAACTGACTTTGGTATATGTCTCAAACTACTTTAAAATAAGGGAAGGGTTAGGTTTGTCGAATTAAGATATGTAAATACAATGAAGTTACTTTCAGTTATTAAAACTTTTGTATTGTGTACATATAAACAGACAATAGGTTTACAGATTCCTCTTAGGAATAGATCAGAATTACTTTAAAATCACTTTTTTCCTCTATAAAACATTACCTCAGCTGCCATAAACTGCCCAAGCCCAAGAGGGAAAGAAAGTGAGGCTATGACTGTAGTGACAACTGCAGGATACAGAAAGCGACTAAAACATGGAATAAAAACACAAATTATGCACATTTCAAAATAGCATAAACACATTTGCATAAGCAAAAAGATGTTCATGTAACTTTATAATTCACAGAAACTAAATTTTCTTTTGAAAACAACTATAATAATAAGCATTATGTGAATAGGTAAAACTTGTAGCATTGAACACATTATGCCAACATTTCAACTTTTAATGTCTAATTACTTTAAATATAATTAGTGTATGTTAATTCCAAATGTGTGTACATTGTTAACAAAATATAATTTCATTCTTTCAGGCATTTGTATTTTAGTTCCTTATCAAACTCAGTACAAAGAATTTTACCATTAAAACTTTAAGACTTTTTTGTGAAAAAATCTAAGAAAATAAGCTGCTTGACCTATATGTAACATCAAAAACACTAAATGAAGGCACAACTTTATGGTGAACAAAACTGTGATAATATCATGGTTACAATTATAGAATATGAACTGTTTAATATTTTAAGTATATCTGTTCTCACATAAAAACATGCTTAAAAATTCAGATCCTGAATACTCGTACAGATACAGAACAAGAAAGACATATTAAGCACAAAAATCCATGAAATCATGAAATTCTTACTTTTTCTGTAGAAAAGTATTCATTCTTTTATGTCGTCTGTTAAAATGTACAATCTGTCTGTGAAACCACACAAACAGTGCACCAGCAAATCCACAGAAAATTCTAGTTAAACACAAGAAACACTAGAAAGTTTTACATGTTCTACATAAAGCAACATAAATGAAACAGTAATAATTGATCTACTAGATCTCTTGCCACACTAAATAATTTGTAAATAATTTAAACTTAAAAAATCAATAACTAGCAAAACAAATTTAAAAACAAATCTAAAAACACTAAATTTAAAACCAAGAACCACATAGTCCAATAGTAAATGCCACCATATTCAGTGAATCAAAAACAGTTTATGCATTTCCCAAGGCAGTTGCTAAAACTGCTGAAATAATTGAAACGTTATTTAAGAAGTTAAAAACTATTGTCTAGTTTCATTCTTGTATAGAGCCAAATGTTTTCAACACTTTTGTTTCTTTGCAATGTTGTACTAGTATATTTTTGTAACAATTTAAATGTTGACTGAAACTGTATATGTTTTAAATATATAAAAAATGGAAAACTTTGGTCATTGCACTAAAATAAAATGAAAACTTGTTGTAAGTTAACAAATTTTAACTGTTTAAGCCTCACAATTAAATTTTAACCAAAACACAGATCAAAGTTTAACACAACTTTATGTAGAACCCACACAAGTTTCCTTGAGAATACACAAAGCACCTTAATTTCTTTCAAAAGACACTGAAACATGCAGCTTTAACAAACACATACACAAATTACAACCTCAACATGGACCAAATAATGTTAAATACAACAAAAATAAAGAGATCAAATTATATTCATGAAGTTGAGATTTTATTTATGTGATTACTTTTGCTAACCTCATTTAACTGTTAGTGTAATTATGACTTTGGTTATCAAACAATATTTGTATTAAGAATAAGAACTCTTACAACAAAGATCCAAGTCCTTGAAAACCTACCTAATACTATGTTTGTCTTAACTTTTTCCTTTTCCACATTTTAAATATCATTGGTGAAGTTAGCTAGTTCATTTATTAAAATAAACAGGAACATACATGGAAATATTAATATTTTAAAACATGAACATATATAACTTTAAAAACTGATTCAGTACAAAGATTTGTAAGAACACAACACAAAAAAACAAACAATTACTCACCCTACAATGGAAAAAGCTACAAGTTCTTGAGGGTCAAAAGGGAAGTCAGCACGAAAATTTGTTTTAAACAATGCTGTGATTGTTTCTGTTCAATAAAAAATAATAAAAAAAAAACTATTGGAAAAATAATTATATCTAACTGAAACAATATATACTTATATAACCAGTAAAAATTTTCAGTATCTGATCTTATAAAAATATAAAAAAGGTGCCTTTTTTTGACTGACACTTAAAATAAGTCCACGGCCATAAGTTAACAGAAATGCAACCATCAAGTGGAGCTAATTTTGACATTGAAAACTCACTTAAGAGATACAAATGAAATAGCAGCATCTGCATTATTACATCCTGGATCTGTGTCACACTGGCAAATAATCAGTAATAAAGAATTGTCATGGAGCTTCCTCTTATAGAACCTATAGTCTGTTTCATAATATCATGATTGAATTTCATCAGGCTCTGTACTAACTCTCTGAAAACAATATTCACAAGTAACAGAAGTGCCGTATTCTTTACATTTTGAGCAAGGCTATTTCCAAAATATGCATGAAATCAATGTATTTTCTGATATATAATTTAAAAACAATATAAACTTTGTACTATGTTCACACTCCTTAAAATAACTGCTATAGTGTTACCTCACTGTCGACAATGGAAAACATTAGTTGTGTAATGTTTCAACTACATATAATATTTTTAAATACAAATTTTCTCTCTTATGTAAGTATATGCAAAGGTTTGATTGCCAAACATTTTAAAGACTGAAATGTGTCACACTTGAATAAACTTGAGCAATGAATGAAGTTATAGAAAAAATCTTAGAAACAGAAGCAAGAAAAAAACTGGTTTGACCTACATTTCCAAGCAACAATCAATTATTCATTCTGTGAAACTGAACAGACACAAATGTTTATATCAACTAAATTCTCAATGTGTTTAAAGTGTACATTCCAAACTTTTCTGACATTTATAAGAATCCATAAACATTAACATCATAATTCAGAACTATAACTAAACCATAATAAAAAAAATCATGAAATCATAATTGTAAGCTATTAATTTCAACATATAACAGCATTCAACTTATTATTGCTATTCAGACCATTCATTCTAAAGAAAAAATAAAATTCACAAAACTTAAAAGATCTGGTAAATAGTTTTTTACTATTAAAAAATTACTTACTCCAAAAGAACATTAATTTCTTATCATCTAAGTTTTGCTAGATTTCAGATACCAGTAAAAGAGGTTTCTCTGAATTTACATTATATTAATAGCCTAGCTGGTAACATGTACTTTTAACAGTTGAAAAAAAATATTTTATATGTAAACTCAGTAAGCATAAGTTGCCAGAATGGCATTTCTGAAAAGTTCTGATAAACTTCTCAATAGTCAAAAAAATGATTCATCATCAAAATGGTAAAACACTCAAAGCTATAAGCATGTGTTGTTAAGTAAGAATGTGACATGTTGACCATATAATAAAATATATTTTAACTCTTGTCCCACTCATGACTATGAAGAAGAGAATTCAAGAAAAGCATCAAGCTAAAGGCAACGTCAATCATATTCCTTTGACTACAGTACTACAACAAATAAATCACTCTAGAGCAGAGTAAGCCTACTAAATCTGATGATGACGAAACTGAAATAAAGTAGACTGAAGTGCATCATCACTTTCCACCCCAGTTAGCATTACTCAATTTATGGATATAATAATGGCTGATCAGATGAAAGAGTTTGGACACCTCATTAATTCTGCTATTTATGCAAACAACACCTTCCTCCATAGTTTAAAATTTCTCTGTAGTAAACATTTTTTCACAAACTTCTTCTAATACTAAACTTTCAAGGTATAAACAGCTAGAAGACTTTCACAAAGGTCCAGTGTTTTCAAATTCAGGAAGTCCCTCATTTCTTCATGGCTCTTATTAGCTTTACTAATATTCAAATAGAAGAGTAATTAATTTTATAGTAACCATTCCATAGCCAGTCTCTTATTGAGTTACTTGAACAAATTAAACTCAAAAATCACATTGGAGATCAATTTTAAAGCATTACTACTGAGCTGAAACCAACAAAATATTTTCTTTCCTGATAGGTGGATTGAATCAGTATGAAGATTACTTGGGAAATGTTGATGATTGAATATCCACACTTCCAGTTCTATGGGTGTGCAGTCACACAATGACATATATGATATTAAGAACTTTAAAACACTCTTCTCGCATTTGCACAAGAGCAAAAAATTGTTAAAATGTCTAAAACAAAGTCTACTGCCTTTATTTGAATTCAAACTATTACAGCAAATTGATAAAAGGGCAAGCATGTTCAGTGTGATATGGATTCACACCAGTGACCCTCAAATTGCAAGTTCAGTGCCCTAACCATCAGGCCATAATTATATTTAAATCATCATACAGTTTACATACCCTGACAATTATTGATATCTAATAACCAAATCCTTATTGTAAGTACCTTATTTTTTATAAATATTAATACCAGCATCATTACCTATATGTGCAATATTCATGCTTACAATTAAGAAATTACATCATAACTGTCAAGAAAGTTACTAATAACTTACTTTTTCCTGATTATATCAAATGTATATAAATAAATGTTACATTAATGTTTTACTTGTATATTTTTTGTGTATGTATTAATAACATTAACTTCCAATTACAGTAAACTACCTATTCACAGATAAACTAAAATTCTGTATTGGTAATAAGCAAAGCAATTAAATATACTTTTCTTAGATTCTTATTTATAAAGGATACAATGCATTGTTTCATAAGTTGAGTATCTTGAATGTTAATGATTTTTATGGCCATAATCCCAATAATATGTCATGATGTTCAGACAGATTAGAAGCTTTAGGTAAGCCCTGAATACATATATTATAACAATTCAAATAATTTTTATAATAAAAGTATACTAAAATTAAATTAAATTAAAAAGTAATCAAATTACATCTGAAATTCTGTGACATTTTCTATAATGTTACTTCAAATAAGGTCACATTAAACCTTATTTTGTCACAGTTAACTATAACTATAAATGAAACTGTGAAAGAAATTCAGGTTTTCAAGTACCTTCATCTTTAAACCAAACAGCTAAGAGTCTCCATACCATCGCCCCACAACAAGCAGCAAAGAAACCGCGCCAGTAGTTACGTACAGCAAAGAACACAGAGGTTACTTCAATGCTGAAAAGAACACCTGGGAAAAAATATATCAGCCTCAGGTATTGGTTCCTTGTAATTCAATAGACCACAACACAAAATAATAAATAATTTAACATCTAAACTATTTTTGTGATAGAATACCTTTTCTTGGAAAATCTAATAGCTATAAAAACACATTATTTTTGACTTCATTAATTAAATGCTTCATAAAACAGTAATCATAATATTCTTATATATATCAACATTAAACACCAGTAAGTTAAAAACGTTTATTCAGTTAGAATATTTAAAAAAGTAAAGAAAGCTAAAACTGTTTCATTATATTAAACTGATATATATAGCTAAAGCAATTTGCTAATGATTTAAAAAATATATATACATAGTAGAACTGAAACAATTTTGTCAGCACTTAGCACATGAAGAACAAACCATTAAAAACCACAATTCTGTTCCATAACATGGTTTATTTTACCAGCCTTTCATTTATATACTTTATAACTCTGACATAAAATAAAAAACAGCTTTGTAGACATAAACAACAATTTTCAAAATAGTTTTGTCTTTACTCTTAATAAATTAGTTTGATTATTAATTTGAAAACTAATGTTTTAAACAGTTTGTGGCTTTACCTCCTATTGGGGCAGCAAAACTGCAAGCAACTCCCACTGCACAAGCAGCAGCTAACATTTCACTAGTTCTGGATTCATTCTAGAAAAGAAAAACAAAACTCGAAATTTTCATTGTTGCAAAATATGAAATATGTCGGATATACTCTTAACTGAATCATGCTTCTGCTTATACCTACAATATACATTAAATTACACAAGTAAACAAGAGTCATAACAAACTCACAAAATTCTTCATACGGTTGTGTTCTGGATAAAATGGTTCTAGTTAAGCTGATGTTACAGTTTGATTATATGACCAATCATCTATAATCGTGTAAGCACAGTTTGATTATATAACCAATCATCTATAATCGTGTAAGCACAGTTTAATTATATAACAATCATCTATAATCGTGTAAGCACAGTTTGATTATATAACCAATCATCTATAATCGTGTAAGCACAGTTTGATTATATAACCAATCATCTATAATCGTGTAAGCACAGTTTGATTATATAACCAATCATCTATAATCGTGTAAGCACAGTTTGATTATATAACCAATCATCTATAATTGTGTAAGCATAAATTTGGAACATTTATTGTTAATTTATCATATAAAAGCTTAAATTTTAAAAGTATCAAATTTGTTCTCTTACGTAAAACCAGATATTTTATCAATAATATTTAGCATTACTTTGGAATTAAGTTTGTAGTTTTTGTAGAAAAAAAATCAGCATTCTGATTAGAACTAAGTAGGATATACCCTCTCCAAAACTGTAAACAAGTTCATAAGAAAGCATAAATGGTCTACATTGTATTTCTTGTAAAGTTCACATAATCTTATTAAATCTTAACACCTGATTTTAGTTTTCTGAAAAAAATATGAATTTGATATCTAAAAATACTTTTTAATTCCCTAATAATATACATCTATTAACAATCAGAGTTTCTCATTCGGAAAGTACCCAAGCTTTATAAACTTCTCAAATTTATTTTATCACCTCACAGTGATATACAATTATATTTTACTTCAAAGTTACTCATGATTTGTATTTCGACTCACTTGGTTAATCAAATTAGATTTTTTGTTAATTGTGTTTGTTTTGGACCATGTAAGAAATTACTGAAGAAAACAATAAAACTAGAATATTAAAATGGTTTGTTCTCAAACAATAAAAGTAAACAATAATATACATAACTTTTACAGTTCATGATGTTATATGATATTTAATTCCATAAAACTCTTGTGTTGTAAAAACAAATATATACATGAACTTACTTCATAAATACCTTTGAAAGAAGTCACAAGTTTACTAAGTAATGTGGCCACAATGCTTGCTACATGTACAAATGGTCCCTGTAAGTTGACACATGAAAGCAAAATTACATAAATATATATATAAACAAATGAATGTTGTATTCATCTCATAATAAAATAAAAAGTTGTCATTTTCTAAGTACAAATACAACAAAATTCATAATTCAGACTCAATCAAAGTAAACTTTATAAATTGAATGTCAATATTTAAAATTACGTAAATACAGTAACATTACAATTACTGGAGTTTGAGCAGGTAAGAAATTTTTTTCTATAAAATGCAACAGTGTTATGAAAGAAAAAGATTTTAATATTTTGGATGATCAGCCTCTTAATCCATCCAAGTAATGAGCTGTTAGTTTGTAGGGCAAATAGGATTTTAGGTTGTGTCAGAAATACTGAATACAAGTGTAAAGCGGTTATAATTCCATTGTAGAGATCCCTGTTTAGGCTTCATTTGTAGTATTGTGTTCAGTCTTGGGATCCTTACCTCAGAAAGGACATTGAATTGTTGGAAAGGTTTCAGAGGAGGGTTACCAGGATTACACCTTGGATGGATATTTTATGATACAAAGTCAGGTTAAGGTTTCCAAAATTGTTTCCTCTTTCAAAAAAAAAAACAAGAGAGTTAGAGAGGATCTTTTATTGTATTCATGGTGAGAATAGCAGGATTACGGAACACTAATATAAATTTTGGCAACACGGGAGCCATTTTCAGCTAAGACATTTATTTTTCTAACAAAATGGCTGGCCTTTGGAATGGGTTGCAATAAGATGTGGTAGGTGTAGTTAATTTATGAAGTTTAAGGGAAGGTTTGATATATATTTGGATGATAATAGCTGGCATTGTATTGTTTTTTTTTTCTTTTAATAGTTTAGTTTGGTTGATGGGACACCCTAGATGGACCAACAGATCCTTTGTTGTCCTTAAATGTTATTTTAATTTAAAAAATTCTGAATAAACTCAAAGCACTTTGTTTTAAAAGAAATATCTATTTAAATATGTGCCAATTATGACACTGTTACTATGTTAGTACAAAATTTTTTCTCTATTTGAGAAATATCTTCACCTTATGAAAGTTCAAAAACTACGTAACAGCTTATTAACAAACTGTGGAGTAGTAAATATTAAACTATTAGGCTCTCATCAAGTAACAGTAAAGTGACATTAAGGGAAATATTGGTTTTGTGAATTGTGAGGATATTACGTGTAATTAAATACAGACCTTTAACTTTGTAAAGTTTATATGAAATGTCTGTATGTTGTCTGGTAGAAGCCACTACTTATTCTTAATATACTTTACAACAAACATTTATTACCTCTTTCCCAAGAGGCATCCCACTGCCAAGGGAAGCTGTCAAGCCCACCATCTTGGACACTAAGGTACGAAAAGTTAAGTACTCCTTCAGAACTACACCTCTCAGGACAGTTTTCATTTCTGGAATTCCTGACCCTGAAATACAAATGCAGAATAATAAACTGAAGCAAGTATTGACAAAACATGTCACTCATTTTTGTTGAAATACAAACTTAATGTTCATTAAAGTAGACATTGGAAACACTGTTAGGTCTAGTTATCTGAAGATACCTCCAACAGATGTTCATTAAAGTAGACATTGGACACACTGTTAGGTCTAGTTATCTGAAGATACCTCCAACAGATGTTCATTAAAGTAGACATTGGACACACTGTTAGGTCTAGTTATCTGAAGATACCTCCAACAGATGTTCATTAAAGTAGACATTGGACACACTGTTAGGTCTAGTTATCTGAAGATACCTCCAACAGATGTTCATTAAAGTAGACATTGGACACACTGTTAGGTCTAGTTATCTGAAGATACCTCCAACAGATGTTCATTAAAGTAGACATTGGACACACTGTTAGGTCTAGTTATCTGAAGATACCTCCAACAGATGTTCATTAAAGTAGACATTGGACACACTGTTAGGTATATATATATATATATAAACATGTTAACTTGTAAAAATCTTAATATGTACAACAGCCATAGTATGAATCACAAATATAGTTGAAAAACTTGTAAAGCATGCCATCAATATCTTATTCAATGTATCTTTTGTTGTTCATCATCAACACTACTTTGAAATTCACTATGTTTAAAATGTTGTTTAATATATAAAAGTAGAAATGGAGCCTTCATACACTGATTACTTATAAACAATGTGATAAGTTTGTAGAATTGTTTGCAACAGCTTCCTACCATGTCTCTATTGTCCAATTTGAATTAAGTGTATAAAACACGTTACTGTATCTCACATACAGTACCATAAAACACGTGACTGTATCTCACATACAGTACCATAAAACACGTGACTGTATCTCACATACAGTGCCATAAAACACGTGACTGTATCTCACATACAGTGCCATAAAACACGTGACTGTATCTCACATACAGTACCATAAAACACGTGACTGTATCTCACATACAGTACCATAAAACACGTTACTGTATCTGACATACAGTACCATAAAACACATTACTGTATCTTACATACAGTACCATAAAACACATTACTGTATCTTAAATACAGTACTTGATCACAATATCTCATTAATATACAACTGTCTTCAACAAATAATATATGAATTGAATATTGGATGTAAAACTGCAAAATATTTTAAAGATTTATTAATTTCCTCGATACAATGTATATTAAAATATTTATCTACATTACTGTATTTATTTGTAATATAAAACCATCAGTGAGGTATAAGTAGATATTTTCTTGACAACTTATCAAATACAGGCTAACTAGATCAGAACACAAAAGTAGCTATACATTAGTAAAACCAAATCCTACACTAACTAAAACTACTTAATGTCATAAATTAGTTCACAAGAAAACAAATTCACAATGATTAGATATGAATCCTTAGCTAGGTGCTATTACTATTAACAATATTTTCACTTGTAATACCAATAACACCTCACAATGTTAAGCCAGTTTAAGATATTTATGTTAGTCCTAATTCCATACATAAATCAACAATGTAAAATAATCTTTATAAATATAATATTTTTAAAAATCCTCAAATTATTATAAATACTTTAACCACTAACATTAATGTAAAGAACTTTTCATAGGTATTAAAATTAGCCAAAAATATTAAAAGTTATATGAATATTATAACAAATAATGCTATATATATTAACCACAAACAGAAAATTAATATGTCATTAAATATAAAGCACATGAAAACCCCAGTAAAATTCTCCATACTTAAACAAATCAACCATGTACTTGTAGCAGTTCATGTCCAATAACACTCTGATTAAAGCAACAACACAAGACCAAATATAAACCAAAAGTTATTTTCAGTCACTATTTATGCATTCCTTCCCAAACAATGGTAAGCATGTATGGTTGACTCCAATTGGTCTGAAGCCAAAGACAAATCACCTCAACTACAAGTAACTGTTAAAAAAATTAACCATCACAATTGTACCCAGAAGACAGGCAGATGGAAGGAAGGAAGGAATAAAATAAAGCAAAACATCAAAAGCCAGGTGGAAAGTACAAGTCATATCTAGAAACAACTGATGATCCCCAAAGAGCTGATCAAGTAACTAAGAAAAATATACACAATGGTAAGAAACACAACCACAAGTATTACCTGATACTAACGTACTATTAACTAGAAACGCAACCACAAGTATTAACAGATACTAATGTACTATTAACTAGAAACGCAACCACAAGTATTAACAGATACTAATGTACTATTAACTAGAAACGCAACCACAAGTATTAACAGATACTAATGTACTATTAACTAGAAACGCAACCACAAGTATTAACAGATACTAATGTACTAGTAACTAGAAACGCAACCACAAGTATTAACAGATACTAATGTACTAGTAACTAGAAACGCAACCACAAGTATTAACAGATACTACTGTACTAGTAACTAGAAACACAACCACAAGTATTAACAGATACTACTGTACTAGTAACTAGAAACGCAACCACAAGTATTAACAGATACTATTGTACTAGTAACTAGAAACGCAACCACAAGTATTACCAGATACTATTGTACTAGTAACTAGAAACGCAACCACAAGTATTAACAGATACTAATGTACTAGTAACTAGAAATGCAACCACAAGTATTACCAGATACTAATGTACTAGTAACTACAAATTCAACCACAAGTATTACCAGATACTAATGTACTAGTAACTAGAAATTCAACCACAAGTATTACCAGATACTAATGTACTAGTAACTAGAAACACAACCTCAAGTATTAACAGATACTAATGTACTAGTAACTAGAAATTCAACCACAAGTATTACCAGATACTAATGTACTAGTAACTAGAAATTCAACCACAAGTATTACCAGATACTAATGTACTAGTAACTAGAAATTCAACCACAAGTATTACCAGATACTAATGTACTAGTAACTAGAAATTCAACCACAAGTATTACCAGATACTAATGTACTAGTAATTAGAAACACAACCTCAAGTATTACCAGATACTAATGTACTAGTAACTAGAAACACAACCTCAAGTATTACCAGATACTAATGTACTAGTAACTAGAAATTCAACCACAAGTATTACCAGATACTAATGTACTAGTAACTAGAAATTCAACCACAAGTATTACCAGATACTAATGTAACTATAAGAAAAAGAATGGATAAAAAAGCACAAACTGTGAAACATAATTGGAAGTCTTGCAACAGGCAAGAGTTAGGTTAACTGTAAAATTTCCTTGGAACTTACCAATAGCCTGTGGAGCAACAACATGTACAACTCCTGAAGAAAAGAGGATGAGGAATAAAGGAAAGGCTAACCAAGCCAAATATTGCTGTGCTGGATGATGTGTCAAGTCTCTGTATAACCAGATTCGAGCTGAAAAAAAATCATTATCACAACATCTTCATTAGTAAGTTGTAACCTTATATCTACAGTAAGGTCCTAATTATGGTTCTTTGATACATAAACAATATCATACATCTCAGAATTTGAAGTTTTAGCTAAAAATGGTTACAAAGTGCTTAACTAAAAATTTGGTTTCATTTTCTTCTTTTCTTTACTCTCTATACCTAAACTCTATGAGAAGTATTACAATGTTTTCAATATTTAGCATCCATTAACAGTTCAATGATCCGTGTGATATTTAACTGACACACATCCTAGCCAATTCTTTTTTAAAGTTCCTAAAAGAAATACTAAAATGTATAAAAATAAAGGATGAAATGCATAAAAATATCAATTATTTTTCATTGATATTTTGTTACATTTCATATTATCAACACCAGAAGCAGTCAGCTATTTGTAGTTTGGTACATATAAAGGTACGTATATGTTTATATTCTAATGCCATGCATTATATTGTTATTCAATACACGTTTCTTGATTACTTTCCTACATATGTGGCAACTTAATGATAAATTATGGTACACTGCCAGTCTCTACTATGAACTGTTCCTGAAAGTCCCTTTAAACTTAGAGATTTTTGTAACTGCTACTGTTAGATTTCTCTCCATATCATACCTAAAACACATTTCTATTTCCTTTTATTGAAATGTGGGGAAGTTATTTTCACAGATGGCTTAAAAAATGTACGTAAAAATAACAATTAAATTAAAATAAAAACATATATATCTACCAATCTACAAATATTTATTGTAAGAATATAGGAATTCACTGGTTTTTATATGTCCTGCTGACAGAATTAGAATTTTGTGCAGTACAGAGATTTTCATTTTTACAAAATAAAGGTCCAGAATGCCAAAATAAAGGACTTTTACTGATTATATAAATAAAGGTTTTAAAGGTTCCCTAAATAACCTGAACTAGTGAGTGTAAACTCTCAAATTTTGGGCAGTGCTCAAATAACAGGATATTAAGTTGATGTAACACCTTTAAGATTCATTGATTGACTGAACCACAGCATTTATACTGAAACAGGATATTTCAAAACCACAACAACTGATCATATTTATTTTTAGAAACAAGAAACATAAGCAAAAACATGTAACACTCATTGAAATAAGCCTCTTTGAATTTTCGTAAGTAGTAGAAGCTTTTGTGTTTTACATATTAGATACCTTCTACAACAGTTACTAGTTATGTAATGCCTACTCTTGAACAGAGTAATACTGCTGTGTGAATACAGTTATCATAAAAAGTAACCTTGAATTGTAGAAAACATAGTTTTTGCAAACTTATGTAACTTACAAAAGCTACTTAAAGAATATCGAGCTGGGAAATCAGTGGGTGACTTCTGACACACCTCACATCACACAAGCTCACCTTTTACACACAAACAGGTTCTACTATATGGATAAGCTAAACAGCAGATGTACATGTACTCGTATCTATATAAAATAAAGTAATTGCAAGCCTCCACCAAGCAAAACATTCTATACATATTTATTCTGATTGAAGGCCAAAAGTGTATGGAAAGAAAATACTTTAAAAGCTCTGTGAATGTCTAACATTGACTAAAAAATGGATACCAACATCAAAAACAGGTATATCATAAACTAAAAGACAATAATAAAAAAATTAACAAATGCTGTCCACAAACATAAATATATTTTATACAAATGTTTTTGTGCAAGATTATGCATAAAGAAAAGAGGCATAAAGACACACTATAATAAATATTGCTTGTTGGCAGGGGTTCTGGTATTTAAATTCTTCTATAACTTGTTTCTCCTCTTAACATATCTTAATGTTTTGTAAGAAAATGTTAACATGATCGATCAAAAATCTATGTGTGTGTGAGAAACAATTAAAACACTGTTGTAGTCAGGAGAAAGTTCAAAATCTATTCTTGTACTGAATACAGAATCACGATAACTGAATAATGGAGGGGTTTAAATCTAAAATTAATTAAAAAATACAAAAGCAAACTAAAGACATTATTCCTTGCAATACTGTAATCACATAAATGATCAACACTGTAAACAGAGACAAAGATGGTTGATATAACATTCAAAACTAGTTCCACTGGCCTACATTGTAAAAATACAAAACCTATGTATGGTAATTAACCTACTATAATGTAGGGCAGTGGAATTAAAAAACAAATTTTGTGTATTTTAAAAAAAAAATTTACATTTAATTATATATATAAAATACCTATATTTTTAGCTAACTAACCTTGAATTCTAAAAGTTGCTTAATGTATTTTTAAACTGGTTGTTCTTTTAACAATTCAGAATTGTTTTAACAACCTTGCATGTAATCCAGACTGCAGTAGGCATGTTAAAACGAAGCCATGAAAAAAATTATATGAAAGTACAAAGAACAGTACAACTAATGCATGCTGTGGTAGTCATTTCAGTCAAACATCAGTGGCAGATAGGCTCTAAC